TGAGCGAATTCGTACACATGTTGTGGTGGAACGTTTGCTTGAGCACTTGGTGTTCCCTTTTGTGCTCTTGTATCCGTCATATAAGAGCTTTCAGCACGTTTCCTCTTGGAAGATTTCAATTCCTCACTCTGTTGATGCTGCTTGGAGTCACCTGGAGCCGACGCAGATGATGAGCCCCATTCACCATTTTTGAAACTCATGTTCTGTCGTTCCCACGAGGGATAAGCTCTCATATATTCATTGTCTTGCGACGGCTGAGTGGACGTATACGCTCTCTCAGTAGCTGCGCCAGTGGAGGGTCCTCCAAATGCAAAAGTATACGTCGTTGAATGAGCTGTGTCAGCGTCAGTGTCAGTTTGCCTTTTTCTTGTTTGGGTGTGCAAGTGAGCCGTGGATAGCCCACCACGGCTATTACCCGTGTCTGAGTAAAAGTATGACGCTGTGGAGGTCTTGGTGAACCGTGTACTTGGGTCAAAGCTATGGGACGTGGAGAACCGTGAGTGTCCGTGATCATTTGACGACGAACCGTCATAGTGTGACTGTTGGTGGGTTCTACTTTCAGGTCTGGAGAAAGGATCATGCCTTGGCACGTTGGAAGGAGAGCTTGTCGCTGACGTTGTCGCTGATGTTGTTGATCTTGAACCAGACGGCCCAGGCCTGTTGACATTCATCGTCGTCTCGAGCTCACTGTCGTACTTGGTACGTTTCCTGCCGTCCGTCAAAACCGAGTGGGCCTCCACCGCTTTCTTAAACAGCTCATGTGCACTGGAAGACTTGTTCTTATCTGGATGGCACTTCAAAGCACACCTCTTGAAGGCCTTTTTGATCTCTGCTTCCGTGGCATTCCTATCAACCCCGAGGATCTCATAATGGGTAGCAGATGTAGTTGGCTCATTCATCTTTGGCAGCTTTCCAACAGCTCTTTCGCTTCCAACAACGCTTGTACACGCTCAGGTTGGCTGTGAGACCAGAGAAGCACACACACACAGGTTCTGTTTCGTGTGTGTATGGCATTGTAAGTGCCTGTGATGCTTTGGTCGAGTGAGCAGTGCTATTATGTAAGCACTGCGAGCAGGCCACAATGATTATGTAAGCACGGTACACACAACGCTGCTTACATAATCATTCCACCCCGGCTCTCCATCCATACACCACCGCCCGGGCTCCCATCCACGGATACGTACACACACTTGCGCCCATCACAGTATAACGTCATAGACTCTTTGGGTTCGCCTATACACACACCACAGGCAGAATGTACGCGGACGGGGGGGGGACCAGCCAATTAGAGCTGCGTTGATCGTAGATCCCACCACCGTTGGCAAAAGCGTCCAACGAGCCACCAGCGGCCCAGCTGAGTGTACTCTCGAATCGCCTGTCCACACGCTCATTCCAGCGCTCATTGTGTGCCTTTCCCTCCACCAGCCAAGGCCTCCCCGGCCGTCACCGTCACCGTCACCGTCACCTCACGGCGCGCGCAACTGCAAACTGCAACGGCACACGCAAGACATGTGGCATAAGTAGCAGAAGCAATCAACCTCCCACTCGCGCTCACTCGCACTCACTCGTTCCCACTCGCTGGTGTCCTCTCCCCTCTACAATTAGTACCGATTGCTCCTGGGCAGGCTGTTCAGGCTGTTCAGGCTGTTCAAAACTGCAGAATTGACTGCTCACCAGCGATGGCCCAGTACTATCGGGCGTCCCCAGCTGAGCCAGTGGCCTGTGTTGCCCCGTTGCCCCCTCAACCGGCCTGTCTTTGTTCCACCGTACTCTCCCTCTGGATAATAGCCATAACAACAGTCGTATGTACGGGTTTTGTTACCCGACGTAGTTTTCGTGCGTGTGTGCGTGTGCGCGTGCGCGTTATGGTTTCTGCCTTAGAGTTTTCCCAGCTGCTTCCCAAAACTTTTCCCTGGCCGTTGCTTCGTTCTCTTCGCAATGCTGACAGCCCAGTGGAAGGAGGCATAACTGAGCAAACCTTTCTGTCGAGCTGTTGCAAGAGGGCGAGATTGACACGTGAGGAGGCCATCTGCCGTTGATATACGCTAACAAGTGACCGTCGTCCGCTTCTGTCTCTGCATCTGTGTGTATTGTTGCTCTCATAGCGATACGCTCCGTCTCGTTGCTAAGAGGGCCCATATAGTACCCACACGCTACACTCAGCACCGCGGCCGTTGCCCTAGTGGACACAGGCAGACGCCCACACACGCTGGACCCCTCGTATACACTTGAATATCTAGTCAATTTGGAACGATGGAGACGCCAGGCCAGATCACAGCTCACAATACACACGTCTCAGGGTTACCGCTGCTGTCGCTGGTGCCCGAGGTGACGCATTCACCAGTGATGACACCCCCGCTGCAAACGGTTTCACACTCTACAGAGCAGCAGGAGAAGGAGCGCACACAGCGTACGCTGGATATGGCGTCGATGGCGCTGAGGAACTCGAGCTCGCAGAGCATCAGCAAGCTGCCCGCAAAGTCGTCGGTGTCGAAGGGCAAGTATGGGCTGAAAGACTTCGAAGTGCTGAGATCGTTGGGAACGGGCTCCTTTGGACGAGTCCACCTGGTGCGCTCAACGCACAACGGCAGATTCTATGCGATGAAAGTGTTGAAAAAGGATAGGGTTGTGAAGATGAAACAAGTTGAACACACGAACGACGAGAGAAGGATGCTTTCCCTGGTGGAACACCCCTTCATCATCAGAATGTGGGGCACGTTCCAGGACTCCCAGCAGCTGTTTATGATTATGGATTACATCGAAGGTGGTGAGCTGTTTACGCTGTTGAGGAAGTCCCAAAGGTTCCCAAACCCTGTGGCGAAGTTCTACGCCGCGGAGGTGTGTCTTGCGTTGGAGTACCTCCACGAGCACACCATCATTTACAGAGATTTGAAGCCTGAGAACATCCTACTGGATAGAAATGGCCATATAAAGCTCACAGATTTTGGCTTTGCTAAAGAGGTCAGAGACGTTACCTATACGCTCTGTGGAACGCCAGATTACATAGCACCGGAGGTTGTCGCTACGAAACCGTATAACAAGTCTGTGGACTGGTGGTCCTTTGGAATCCTGATATTTGAAATGTTGGCAGGCTACACCCCCTTTTATGACTCTTCACCTATGAAGACGTATGAAAATATCCTTGCCGGCAACGTTAAGTACCCTGAATTCCTACACCCAGATGCCCTTGATCTGTTGAAAAGACTGATAACAAAGAACTTGAGTGAACGGTTGGGTAATTTACAAGGAGGCACAGAGGATGTGAAGAGACACCCTTGGTTTTCAGAAGTTGTTTGGGAGAGATTACTATCAAGAGACATTGAAACGCCGTATGAACCACCAATTCAACCAAACACCGGTGACACATCACAGTTTGATAGATATCCAGAAGAGGATACAAACTATGGAGTTGGTGGCCCGGATACGTACGGCCATCTCTTCCCAAACTTTTGAATAGTTGTCGGCATTGGCTGACAACGATATGATCATGAATCTCTTGAAAACAACAACATAAAGCCATTGTGATAATTTAATTCGTATAGTTGTGTGTCACTGTAGAACGTCATAGTGTTCCAATATTGGGATCTTTAATCCATCTCTTGTATACAGGATGCCAAGAGTGCCGAAGAAGTCATCATTGACAAGAGATCTCTGTGTCCAGGGCTTGACATATGCCACTGTTTCACGGGTGAATAAAACTTGGTGATGGAGAGCACTTTCTGTTTCCATAGATGTACCGTAGCAATACATTTGAATGTATGTGGTTCCCTATTGGTTGTGTGTTCTATAATATTGTACTTGAACTTCGTCTTGCTTTGATATCACCGCCAATTGGTCTATACCTCAGTCCCCAAGTCAAGTGGTTAAGCCAATTACATGTAGATCTCGTTGATGGGAAGTGTCATTAGTAATTAAAACGATTAAGAACATGAATATGGAAGTGAACAACAATGACAACTTCCCAGGTTCAACACCGGGTTGAATGTTCCTAAAAGACAACAGAGGGGAGGAGAAAAGAAGGCAGAATACACACATACATTCAGCTGAAATCTCTTGCTGCATCACAGAGCCTAACTTGCTGGAGCCAAGAGCTTTTCATCACTTGTTCAATGGTTAATCTCGTTGAAGGATTTGGATCCAACATCCCATAAACAGTGGCCTTCCTGGATTTGTAATAAGCACCACTTTTCATGCTTTCAATTGGTACAAACGTTCCAGGCTTCCCTTGTTGAGGTCTGGTTTCGATGTAGTCCTCGTACAGAGGTTCACTCAACTTGGCAACAGGCCAGAGATAAGTTCCAGTTGCCATTGTTAGGTACAATACACCAAGGGCCCAAACATCGGCTGCACGGGGATCGTACTCGTTACAGATAAACTCCTCCGGTGCAACGTAGGGTTCACTACCACATGCTCCTTGACTGAAATGACATTCCTTTTCCCATGCGGTTCTGAACACTGCACTTGTTCCAAAGTCGGAGATCTTTGCAACACCTTGCGTGGTCAACAATATGTTTTCCGGCTTGATATCACAGTGAGCAACACCACGGGCATGCATATAGTCAAGCCCATTTGTAACCTGTTTCATGAAACAATCTGCTTCAAGCGAAAGCAGACCTTCCCTGTTAGTCTTGGAAATTAGGTTATAGAGGTCTCCTCCAGCACAGTACTCCATGATTTCAGAGTAGATACCAGACGAGTTCTTCATCAAATCAAATGTACGGACAATGTTCAAATGCTGAAGAGAGTTCGAGATGACAAACTCCGACGTCAATCTCGTCGCAAAGTGTTGAACATCTTCGTTATCCCTCTTTCGAAGTTCCTTAACGGCGTAGAACATTTCCCTCTTTGAGGCCGTGTCAACCTTGGAAACCAGCTTGACGATACCGTAGGTACCTTTACCGATGATACCTTGGGGCTTCCCGTACTTTTCCGTCAATTTATAGCTCTTTGTAGCGTTTGTAGAGCTGGAATCAACGTCATCAGTTTTAATCTTCTCCACTAGCTTGTTGATCAAGTTCAGCTGATCGTCTCCAATGGCAGCCTGCTCTTTGAACTCATCATCTTCATAGTCGTCGTCCTCTGTCTCTTCAGAATCGTCCTCTTCCCCGTCACCAAACGAGGACGATCTATCCTCGTCTTCTTCATCAAACGTTTTCCGACTCTGAATGCTTAACCGGCGCTGGAAGTCCATTCTGTTCTGTTCTGGCAACACACTGAACGCGGTATCATCACCATTCGCAGTGCTTCTTCTCAGAAATCCAGAGAGGATGCCGCTTCCCTGCGGTATCTTTTCCAAGATCTTGATGGGCTTGAGAACGTGCTCGTGCGAACCGTCTTCGTAGATCTTCGTTGTACCGTCGTCGGAGATTTGAACGATGCTGCTCTGTCTGCTGCTGCTTCTAACGCTTGCTCTTCTGGAGAGCGTCTGATCTTGAGAACCCTTTCTTGAGGTCACAGACGTAGCGCTCAGTGTAGATTTCACAGGAGTGAAGGCTGGTTCCGGAACCGCCAATGGGATCATGTTGGGGACCCTTACCGCTGTGAATCCTAAATCATCAACAACGGTGGAATCAGACTTCGGGTCTAAGCCTGGTGTGACGTTTGTATTTCTCGACACCCGTGCAGTTGGCGAGATGGATCTGTCTCTGCCCACAGGGGAGCACGACGTGGTGGCACTAACTGGCGATGTGGCACTAACTGTTGATCTCTGGCGTGCCACTTTCAATCCGCCTGGGTCTGCTCTTTGTTGTTGTTGCTGCTGCTGCTGCTGCTGCTCTTCAACCTTGTGGATGTTATCCTTGTTCTCTTCCGTCTTTGGCGCCTTCACAAACAGGTTCTTCAACGACAGCGACAGTGAATGCGTTTTCCTCGTCACGTTCTGCTGAGATGGCGAGCCATTTCTCACGTCAGCCCCCGGATTCCCTGCGCTTACGCTATTGGCCCTGCGCATTTCTCTCCCTTTCTATGTCTGCTCTCTGGACCCGTGATCCCCTCTATTTTCTCCCTCCCGGCTGGCGACTGAAAGATACAATTACAGATAGAAGCACCGAGACTGCTAAGATCAAGCGATTAGCCACCAAAAATAGTCAATTGGACGATGCTTTGGTTGATAGCCAACACAGTTGCACAGGAAACCAGGAGAAGGAGACGTTCTTTCGATCAGCTTTTGCAGAACTTGCCTCAGCAAAGGCGGATTTTCCTCTTTGCGAGAGCTCTCTGCTGGGCCCCAATTTTTTTTTCTATGACGTCTTCACCTCCGCGCAACGGGGTTTTTCTTCTGTGCGATGTCCTGAGGCGAGGGGGGGGGGTGGCGGATTCTGCGTAAATTCCGAATGTTTGGATGTTTTGGGAAATACGGGGAGGAGGTCACGTGTGAGAGGGCCTCGGATATGGGGTTTTCTACAGCGCTGAGGGAAACTCAAAATTTGATTTTTGACGTTGGTTTTCACATCGAATGAGCTTTGTTGGATAGTGACGACGACACATTTATACCATCAACCTGTGTGTTTGTGTGTGCTTGTGTGCTTATCTGTGTGTATTTCGAAACGATGTTCCAGGCATTACCAAAATCAAGATTCTCAAGACACGTTGAACGTTTGAACCTGTTGTCCAGCGGTGCTGGTTCACTACTCGTTCCTAAAGAGGTGAAGTCCGTGGAGCTTGTATTCAAGAACAGATCCATTGGAGGCCATCTGGGCGCAAAGTGAGTTAATACTCTGATACACCAATCCCAGGCATCTCTGAGATGACGACTGGGTGGGCACAAGGACGGGAACACAGTTGTACTGACATGCAAACTAGGAAATTCTGGAGAGAAAACTTGCCGAGGGTGCAGTTCTTCAACCCATCGCTCCCAATAACGGTCATCAGAGTCGAGCCTGAAGCCGGAGAGGCTAAGCAGGTACCAGCGGTGCTCAAAGTCGAATTCAGTACGTATACACGCTCTCACTGTATGATCCCCACGTCTACAGAGGTCTTGTTCTTATACTAACACTCACCACAGAGGACGGCGAGGTCAAGAAAGTTGACGTCAAGCACAAACACTCATCAGAGATCCTCAAACTGTTTGTGAAGATGACCGGCGCTACTCCGGCAGAGGAGATCGTCCACACTCCACAGCTATAGATTCCCACGCCGGGCTCCTTGGAAGCTCATCGGTCGGAACTTGTACATATAAAAACATGCAATCTGGAGATTCGTACATAGCAGAAGAAACAGTCGTCGTTGTACATCAGGTGGAAATGGGAACCATTCCCATTGCTCAACAGCCAGTAGCCATTGTAAAGTAGCAAGTGGACACTGTGCCCAAGGCGAGTGTGACAGAGACAGGGCAAAACACCCAGACACCCAGACACACAAGCACCCTTACACCAAAACACCCGCACACCACTAGCGTCTCCATCCATCCGACAGCCGGCCCTAAACAACCTCGCACACTAAGCACGCTTAACTACGCTGGATCATCAGTGTCAGTCAGAAAGGCCCCAAGCTGCGAACCTGGGTTTGCTCTGCCATTGGCCACCTTGCAGTTTAAAAGAGACCCACGCTGCCCGTTTCCACCACCCGTTGCCCACCGTTCTCAAAGAACCAAGCTGGAAAACCATGCCGTCGTTCACCAGCGATCTGCTCCATGGGTCTTTGGACGTAAGTCACCGTCTTATCGTCGCGGTTTCCTGGGCTTAGCCGTCGAGCCTGGGGAAAGCACTGCCATCAACAGATTACTAACAGCCAGGCCACCGTGTGCAACAGGGGATAAAGCTATCGAAGCACCACATCGTACACAACTACCTGAAGGTGCCCGCGGGCATCGTCGTTGTGCTGGCGATCCTCTACGGCGTTAACGAGATCATCATCTTGACCACCATCAACTTCCCGGCCTCGGTGACGTGCATGCTGGTGCTATACCTGGCGCTCATAGTGTCGACGATGACGCTGGGCAAGAACAGGACCAACTGGATCATTGGCCTTGTGAAGATCCCGGGGGACTTCTGTCTCAAGTGGATCAACATATTCTTCACGCCGGCGTTTGTGACGCTGCCGCTGAGCGACTGGATCAGCGCTAAGGAAGCGCTGACGATAGCTGCCGTGTTCGTCATCGGCTATGTAGTGCAGACCGTGGTGGTGGCATACTTCACCATAGCGCTCCAGAAGGTGCTGGGCCAGCAGCGCAAGTCCGACGTGACGCGGGCGGAAGAGCTAGGGGACCTGAACAGGAACACCATGCTGAACGGTGACAGTACCGCCGTGGGCTCGTCTGGCCTGGCTGGTGCCGCCGACGACGAGTCGTATGAGTCGAGAAGAGGCTCGCTTGCAACGTTGCAACTCCAGCGGATGAAGACGTTCGAAGCTGTGCCCCACGAGATTGCTGATGAGATTGCACGAGGCGATGAGGACTCCATCGAGATGAGATACAGGGATGAGCACGAGGCGTCATCAAACGACATCGCTTCTGCGAGAGCCAGCGATGAGATAGTCCAGATCCACCTGACGACGAATGCGAAGAACCAGACGATAAGCGTTCCTGGGCGTGCTGCTAAGCCTAAGGGACACCTACACAACTCATACGATCCATTTACAAGGCTTCAGGGGACTTGGAACCGGTTGTTCTGTGAGAGAGCGCTGTTGAAGCAGAGCAGACCGACTCCGCTGCTGTCCAGAAGAGAGTGGATTGCACAGTTTGTCCACAAGAGGTTTGATCTTCTGGTGTACTTTGGTGTCTTCATCACGTCACTGCCCATCTACTATGCTGTTGGCTATGAGATGCCCTTACAGCTGATGATTGCGGTGTTCACCTTCTTGTTCGTGCTGAAGGTGCCGCCTCCTAAGTACAGGAAATTCCTACACCCTGTGCTGTGCTCCGTGGGATTGTCGTGGCTGTTCTTCTTCATCTTTGCCATTATCAAGGGCCAGAACTTCTTGGATTCCTTGAGGGAGTACAAGACAGGCGTGACATACCTGAGGCTGTTCAACCATCGAAACTCCACGTCACCACCGGGAGCTGGTGACGTCTTTGCAACGTTGATGGATGTTTCCATCGTGTCGCTCTCCATGCCGATGTACACCTATAGAATGGACCTGAAGCGTCATTTCCTTGCGCTGTTACCACCAATTCTGTTGATGACGTTTGGATGCTTCTTCGTATATCCTCCAATGTGCTATCATTTGGGAATATCTTCACAGAGATCCATCGGTTTCGCAGGCAGATCCGTCACCTTGGCCCTGGGGACGCCATTTGTGCAGGCATTGGATGGTTCCATTCCACTGATGGCTGTCACGACGGTGATTTCTGGAATCATTGGTGCGCTAACGTGCCAATGGTTCTTCAAATTCCTCCGCATCAGGGACGACGACTACGTCACAAGAGGCATTACTCTTGGTGTTAATTGCGGTGCCATTGCCACTGCGCATTTGTTGACCATCGATCCGAGAGCTGCTGCAATGAGTTCTCTTTCTTTCGTGCTCTTCGGTACGTTTATGGTGATACTGGCATCCATAAACCCATTGGCTCACCTCATCAAAGGCTGGGTCGGATTATGAGCTTCACTAACCAGTTATCTACAGTTGAATCTGTGTGATGATATATCTTTTATTGAAGAAAGCATAGCTTAGCAGATATCGCCTGTTATCCATTGTTAGTACTACTCATCACTGTAGACGTTGCCCGTGACAGCCAAATTGAGCTTGTTATAACTTTTCAATCAGAGGTGCTATAAGTTCTACTAAAACTGAGCATGAGACTTTTCTCTAACATTCGAATTCGATTCAGTTGTCCCTATCTGGTTACTCATCATCAAGCACAAACAAACCAATTGGCATCCTACGACGATAATCACTTACTTTGCCTGTTTCTTTTGCTGTTGAAGATGTTGTGAAGAATAGCTGAAAATTTTTTAGATCTTTCGGTTCTTTTATAACTTCGGCGTAGAAGCCAGCAGGGCTCATAACGCCAAATAGGCGTCATCAACACTTTCTTCAATGAACTGCTTTATAGGGCAAAAAGGTGCTACAATTGTGAATATAACGTGCTTTTTATAAGATGAAGAGGTTATTCATCAACATGTGATTCTTTTTTTAGGAATTGGGAGGAGCAGTTGTTGTTCAATCCTCACTCTTAATACGAGCCTCTCTTTCTAGCCTCTCTTCGATTTCCCTCAGTTCCCGTTCTCTCTCCATCAGTTCCTTCTTCTTCTGTAGCAAGTCCTTTTGAACACGTTCTTCGAACGCCTTCAATCTTTCTTCTTCTAGTCTGATTTGTTCTTCACGGGCCAGGTATGTATCGTTGTTCAGTGATGGAGACTGCAAAGACGCATCAGGGTCTTGTTTGACCAGTGGGGACTTGATTGAAGGCTCAGCGTTGAACTGGCTCGTGAGATGATCTGGCAGTGAGCCACCAGAGCCGCTCAGGGCCTCGGTTCTGTACTTTTCGTACAATATTTCATGCGTATAATCCTTGAGATCTTGGAGATGAGAGATGAGTAACAGATTCCTCAATATCACGAAATCGGACAGTTCGTGGTCTTCAATGTTGATGAAACCCCATGGGTATTTTCTTCCTCTAATCAGTTCACCTTCAACTTCAAACACTTGGTTTGAGCCAATTACAGAGAACGGGATCAAAGATCTCAAATACGAGTTCGTGTCGACTGTTTCGTTATCGTCGGTTTCCAAGTCGTATGGGAAGTAGTAGTATTCGATCCCGTAGTGTTTCAGGTCCTCAAGGATCAGTTTCTTGTTCAATGCCAACTCCTCACGTGTCAGAGCGTCGGCTTTACTGATCACAGGTATGATGTTGACCAGGCCGGTCAACCTCTTCAGCATCTCCACGTCAATCTCCTTCAACCCATGGCCCGTCGCGTTTATAAAGTAGATCACCGCGTGAACCCTAGAGTCCTTGAAACGAGGGTTTCTTCTCACCCGCGACTCCTCCAGCAGAACCTCATCGTACTGATGTTTCAAGTAGTCAGTGACAATGTTGAAATTGGACGAGTTGTCTAGCGAATCGCCAAACCCTGGCGTATCGATGATGCTGAGCGAGATCTTGACACCCTCATTGTCCTCCAACTCAACGTTCTCCTCCCTGAGCCGGAAGTCTCTCTCCACAGAGTCATCAGTTGCCAACGGGATCGTGCTCGAGGGCTCAACAACCTGCTGGCCACACAACGAGTTGATAAACGTAGATCTACCACTACCTGATTGGCCCACAACCATGAGCGTGAACTGAATACCCTTCTTCAGGGTCTTTCTCTTTCTGAGCGCTGCTGATGTCACCGATGCCATTCTTGCCAATGTCTCTGCTGCTATGGCCTTTCCAAACTATCACTCGGTGTGCCAGAACAAAGCGGAAAGCTCACTGTTGAAGCCACCTATAGCAGGAATGTTGAGATGAAACAAAACAAAACAAAGCACAGCACAGCACAGCACCAAAAACGGGCACCCGGACACCAAAGGAAAACCACGCTTTCCCAAAAGGGCAGGCGGTAGGGTAACCTGACGCGTCTCGGAAGATTACGTAATCCGATCTTTTGTAGCCGGGTGTGGCATCACGTGGCGATTACATAAGCACAAGGAGAAGTTCTCCCACCGCTGCGGTGCTGAGCCAGCAGGGAAACACATCACAGCACTACAACCACAGCCGGCGAGACGTAATCACAGGGGAAACGATCGAGAGAGCGATAGACACACAGTGAGAGATACCGTGGGAGACACCGTGAGAGCGTATATACACAGCAGGAAGATTTCAGCGGCGATACAAAGATGAAGTTCTCCCATTCGCTACAGTTCAACGCTGTTCCTGAGTGGTCATCAAGATACCTGGCGTATTCAAACCTGAAGAAGCTGATCTACAACCTGGAGAGGGAGTTGCTGCAGAGAGGAACCACCTCGGCACTGGATAATGAAGCGTCGTACCTCATTTCCCAAGACCGTGGTGCTCAAGATAGAGACGCTGTCCGCACCTTTGTTGCTGCTTTGGATGCAGAGTTGAAGAAGATTGACAAGTTCTACAAAGAGAAGGAGCTGTCTGCTTACCAGGACTACGAGCTGCTTCTGACCGATGTCGAGGACTTTGAGAAGAACCTGAGACCCGTGGAGTCGACAGACACCCAATTCCACTCGATGAAGAGGGCACGATCCATTCCAAACGTGTTGCCTCCTGTACACGATAGCGATGACGATGATGACGAGCTTGCTGACGGTGCTGGAGACGACGGTGAAGGTGTGACGAGCTTTAGAGGTCGACAGGGCTCCTTGGAGCTGGACCAGAGACTTAGAAGAAACGAGGGGCTCGTACGTTCACGGACACCCGAGTTTTGGGACAGCGAATACGATAACATGCCTACTAGAGACCCGTTCAACGTCCTGGCTGATATCAGAATCACTCTGAAGAGAAGATCCATAGCTCTGTTCACGCTCTTGTCGGAGCTGAGATCGTACATCGAGCTCAACAAGACCGGGTTCACTAAGATATTGAAGAAGTTTGACAAGACTGTCAACACCAAGTTGAAAGATGAGTACTTGGAGAAACTGGTGAAGGAGTCATATGCCTTCAGTGCCTCCACTGAGAAGTTGCTGACAGAGAGATTAGAATCAGTAATTGAAATCTATGCATCCTTATCAACGAACGGGTCTATAGAGATGGCCAAATCCGAGCTAAGATTGCATCTCAGAGAACATGTCGTCTGGGAACGTAACACTGTCTGGAAAGATATGATTGGATTGGAAAGAAGGGCCCAGACTGCAACCTTGGCGAAGAAGAAAGGTTCTGGTCCTGGATCAAAGGAAATATTGGTTGGTGAAGAAGACGAACAAGCCGAGGACAACGTTTTAAAGACCAATACTTTAACACTGATCGCAATCTTTATCATAACTGTGGTGCTGTTAATCGTCTCACCTTTTGAACAGATTGAGCAGAAGAATTGCTTTGCCCTTCTGGTTTGCTCATCGCTGTTATGGGCCACTGAGGCAATCCCATTGTTTGCAACATCGTTATTGGTTCCACTCTTGATTGTCGTTCTTGGAGTCTTGAAAGATGACTCTGGGGATAGAATGGACCCTGTTAACTCGTCAAAGTTCATCCTGTCGGCAATGTGGTCTTCTGTTATAATGCTCTTACTCGGTGGATTCACACTGGCCGCAGCACTCTCTAAGTACAACATTGCCAAAATGGTATCCACTTGGATTCTTTCAAAAGCTGGTACCAATCCGAAAGTTATCCTTTTCACAATCATGACCGTGGCACTTGTGGTGTCGATGTGGGTTTCAAACGTGGCAGCACCAGTGCTATGCTATTCCATCGTTCAATCTCTCTTGAGAACTTTACCACGTGGATCATACTTCGGTAAACAACTGGTCCTGGGTATTGCATTGGCTTCAAACATCGGTGGTATGGCATCTCCAATTGCGTCTCCTCAAAATATCATCTCCATTGGGATGATGGACCCACAACCTTCCTGGGGCCAATGGTTTGTTATTGCAATCCCAGTTTCATTAATTTCTTTGGTTATCATCTGGGCCTTTCTCATTGTCACCTTTAGATCATCAGAAAAAATTGCCATTGCAGGCATTAGAACTGTTGACGATAAGTTCAACAGAACGCAATGGTACATTACCTTTGTGACGGTGCTGACCATAGTTCTATGGTGCTTGGCTCACCAACTTGAGGGGGTGTTTGGTGAAATGGGTATCATTTCAATCATTCCAATGATTTTGTTCTTTGGTACTGGCATTCTTACAGCTGAAGACTTCAATAACTTCCTATGGACCATTGTTGTGCTAGCCATGGGTGGTATTGCCCTGGGTAAAGCAGTCTCAACGTCTGGGTTGCTTGAAACAATTGCCATAGCTATCCAGAGAAACGTCCAAGGGTTCTCACTGTTCTCCATTCTATTGGTGTTCGGTGCGTTAATTCTTGTCGTTGCAACTTTTGTCTCTCACACCGTGGCTGCGTTAATCATTGTTCCTTTGATTGCGGAGATTGGATCCAAGTTGGACGATCCACATCCAAATTTGTTGATCATGGGTGCAGCTTTCCTCTGTTCAGCAGCCATGGGTTTGCCAACCTCAGGGTTCCCTAACGTTACAGCAATTTCATTGGTGGATGATTTCGGTGAAAGATATCTCACTGTGGGAAACTTCATTTCCAGAGGTGTTCCTAGTTCCATATTTGCCTACCTTGTTGTGGTTACAGTGGGATTCGTTCTAATGAGATTAACAGGGATGTGAAAGAGCTCTTCTTCTCATGCGAATCGTTAAATTCTGTTGCCAGTTAGTAAACAAAGTAATAGTTATAATACATGTGTGCATTTCATGTTTCAAATACCTATCTAGTCTTTGGCATCTTTCGTCTCTGATCTATTTCATCCTTCTGACCATAGAAATGTGGAGCGAGCTCGGCAAGCCATTGTTCTTGGACGGGCATCACGTTCCTCATGAATTCCTTTGAAGTGAGGACCAACTCGTTATATATAACCATCTTTGGAGGAGGTTTAGTCTTGTAGAGCACAGATGAAGGATGAATGTACACTGTTTGGTTCTTCTTGAGGGAACGGTAGCCATCGCCTGTCTTTGATAGACGTGCAGCGTTGGGGAAGTACCCCGATGCAATGGCCTTTTCAATATTCAACGTTAGCTTTTGAGGATCCTTTTCTGCTTCGTTTCCTTTGGATTTGATCAGTGTTTCCAATCTATCACAGAGCCTTTCGAGTTGATCACGAACGTTTCTAGCTCTCGCAAGGGTTTTATGCTGAATGAAATTATCACGACACCATTGCAGTGAATAGTCACTCTCAGCCCATCTGTTGAAGATTTCGAGCAGAGTCAGGTGATCACTTGACTGTTTAAAAGAATCTCTCGCAGAGTCTGCTAACATCTTCTTTTCCTTAGGTCTGTAGAACAATGCAGCAGATTCATCAAGCATGGACACAATTGTTAAGATTTCGTCCGTACAGTTAAACTCACCACTTGACAGAACAACTTTTGCAAGCATTGGGTTTGTTGGGAATTCAGCCATTTGCCTTCCGATAAGAGTCAGTTGACCTTTCGAGTTAAGTGCACCCAAAGCATACAGTAGTTCCAAGGATTTGATAAGAGTCTCACTGGCTGGAGGATCCATAAAGTCAAAATTTATCAAATCGTTTATCCCAAGTGACAAAAGCAGCAAAACAACACTAGCCAGATTCGATCTCAATATCTCAGGTGTCGGATTAGCAGGCAGTTCATGAAAGTAAGCCCATTTCGTGTACAGCCGGAAACACTTACCTGGTCCAACTCTACCAGCTCTACCAGCTCTCTGGTCTGCTGAAGCCCTTGAGCAGGGAACGACAACTAAGCTCTCCATACCAGTTGAAGGGTTATATACATTCTCCTTAACGAAGCCGGCATCGATAACGTAGACAATTCCATCTATGGTAAGAGACGTCTCTGCAATGTTTGTTGCTAGAACAACTTTTCTAGCACCCTTTGGCGTTGGTTCAAAGATCTTTTGTTGCATATCCGACGGTAGGTTAGCATATATTGGGCAGACGATCATTTCTTTTATCCTGGACCCCAGTTTCTGACAAGTGGCATTTAAATTCTCAGCCATTGTTTCAATTTCATCTTGACCTGTCAGGAAGACCAGGATATCACCTGGTCCTTGAGATGTGTGGATTTGAAATACAGTTGTTGTTGCAGCATGCAAATAGTTAGCCTCTGGTTGTTTGGTATAGTGAATATCGACAGGGAAACGACGACCTGGAATGTTGAATATTGGTGCACCGTCAAAGAAATCACTGAATTTCTCAGCGTTCATGGTTGCAGAAGATATGAGCAGTTTCAAACCGGGCCTGTATTTCGAAATGTCTTTGACCAATCCAAAGAGGATATCAGTGCTCAGGGTTCTTTCATGTGCTTCATCAATCATCAATGCAGAGTATCCACTCAGTTCAGGATCGGTCATAAACTCTCTCAAGAGCATACCGTCGGTCATGTACTTAACAACGGTCTTTTCGCTTGTGTTATCTTCAAATCTAATGGAGTAACCAACCTCTTGTCCAAGCCTTACACCCATTTCATCAGCGACTCTGGCAGCCACGGACATCGCAGCAACACGACGTGGTTGAGTGCATGCAACCTTCATACCATTCACAGTGTAGCCATCTTCAAAGAGGTATTGAGGTAGTTGTGTAGTCTTTCCAGAACCGGTTTCACCAACAATGATCAGAACATTATGTTCCCTGATGGCCTCCAGCAGCTGCGATCTATATTTGTACACAGGTAAGGACTTCCTTACCTCATCAATGGTCTTGATCCTCTGTTCCTCTTCTTCTATGCGTCTCTTCAACGCCTCTTGTTCTTGAGTAAGCTGAGGGCCTTCGTCCACGGTATCAAGCAAAAAGTCAATGTTGTGATCGTCATCAAACACATATTCATACTGGTCTTGATTTGGAGCAGATATCTCGTCTGGGTGCGATATCTTGGCTCTCTTTGCAACCTGCTGCTGTTCCCAACGACCAGTTTCAGGTATTGCACCAGAGTCCTTATGTTTCGAGTACAGCGCATCCTCTTTCCTCTTCCTATCCAGCGACTCTTCAGGTAGGGCATAACCTCCAACATCAGCGCCTCGTTTCTCCCTCATCAGTTGGAGTACTTCACGTTTATGATGAATCTCCTCCTGTTCCCGTCTCGTGAGGTTGTCCCATCCGTAGCGCTTAGCATCTTCTTCCAGTCCTTCAACCTCCCTTTCAAGAAGCGCAAACTGCTCCTCCTCACGCTTGTCCAGGTACTTCTGTCTCGCCAGTTCTCTCAAGTCTTGGATATCCGCATTCTCATGAGGTGGGACGGGTGCTTCGTCCACCGCAGTGCCACCACTTTCAACGTCATCGCCGCCAACATCACCACCATCAGCGTCGTCACCGCCAGGGCGCTCAAGACCTTGTTTCTCCTCGTCAGACTCCGAATCAGATCCCCAACGGTCGATATCTTTCCTTCTCTGTCTGCTGTTGCTCATCGTTCAACAACCGCCCGTTGCCTTCTCTGAACCGCGCTGTCTGTTGTTGTTATAAACTGTCCTTAGTACTTGTTTGTTTACGTTTTCTGGGCGGGACGATGGGCGCCAAAAAAAATCAACAAACATCACCATGTTGAGGAACAGTGCGAGCGGACGGGAGAAGAAGAGAACTCCACCAGCTGTAACCAGTGCAGAGCGCGGAAGAGAGAAAGAAATGGCTACCAAGAAGAAATCGTCTCGCTCCAAGCCAGACGATTCACTGTTGTTTTACGGCTCTGCCCTGTATGACTTCCTGTCGCCTTTCAAAAGAGCACAGAACCAATGGGCTGCTCGGTACACTGTTGTGATCTTTGCCATAATTGTGCGCTCAGCCATCGGGTTTGGAAGCTACTCAGGTGCTGGGACGCCTCCGATGTATGGTGATTTCGAGGCACAGAGGCATTGGATGGAGATTACCCAGCATCTGCCAATGAAGGACTGGTACTGGTATGATCTACAGTACTGGGGGTTGGACTATCCACCACTCACGGCGTACCACTCTTGGTTTTTCGGTAAGCTGGGTAGCTTGGTGGACCCAGCTTGGTTTGCACTGGATGTGAGCCGTGGACTGGAGACCGAAACGCTGAAATCTTTCATGAGATTCTCAGCATTGGTCAGCGAGGTCGCTATTTACGTACCTGGTGTGTTTCGTTACACCAAATGGAACGGTAAGGCTATAAAGCACTCGCCAATTGACCAGACCATTGTGGCATCTTGTATCTTGTTCCAGCCAGCGTTGATGATCATCGATCATGGTCATTTCCAATTCAACTCTGTGATGCTCGGACTCACTCTGCTATCGATCGTGCACCTGTTGTATGAGAACTATATGCTTGCATGTGTCTTCTTCGTGCTGTCCTTAGGGTTCAAGCAGATGGCATTGTACTATGCACCAATTTTCTTCTTCTACCTGCTTGGAAGATGCGTTGACTTACAAACCCCAGGCTTACCACTATCCAAGAGATTGAATCCATTCAGACTGTTTTTAATCGGCACTGCAACGGTCATTACATTTGTACTACTTTTTGGCCCACTGGTCCTATTCGGTGGCCTGGAGAACCTAAAGCAGTGCATCCATAGATTGTTTCCATTTGCTCGTGGTATTTTTGAAGATAAAGTTGCCAATTTCTGGTGTTTCTCTAACATCTTTATCAAGTACCGTACACTCTTCTCACAGGAGCAATTGCAGTCTTATTCACTGATTTTAACACTGGTGGGATTCCTACCAGCTGCTATTCTGATCTTCTTCAAACCAAGAAAGAATCTGCTCCCATGGGCACTTGCAGTTTGCTCAATGTCGTTCTACCTCTTCTCATTCCAAGTTCATGAGAAGACCATTTTGGTTCCACTGTTGCCTATCACACTCCTGTACTCTACAAATGATACAAACGACATGGCCATTATCTCATGGATCAATAACGTTGCGCTTTTCTCTATGTGGCCATTGCTGAAACGTGACGGATTGTTATTACAGTACTGCTGTCTGATGCTATTGTCCAATTGGTTGATGGGAAATCTCAGCTTCATCACGCCAACATTCTTGCCTAAGGTCCTTACACCTGGTCCTTCAATCTCGCTCGTACAGCAGGCAAAGAAGCGCCATGGTTTACCAGACGGCATCCTCTGGAGAATCATCATTCTCTCAAGTTACATCGCCATTGCCCTTGTGAGTTTCGCCGATCTCTACATCCAGCCTCCAGCAAGATACCCAGATCTATGGGTATTGGCCAACGTCGCTGTTTCTTTTGGATGTTTTGTACTGACATGGCTATGGTGTTACTACAAGTTATTTATCCTCGCATTCTAACATGGAAATCATAGCAGTCAATGCGAATTGCATAATTCCTTTGTCATTTTTTTTCCATCTTGCGTAGCCAATCGGTACGCGTCCCCACGGAGAGCGGTAAAACCGACGCGTAAACAGAGACGCGAAACTAATGTCCAATGAAAATTTGTTATCAAGCAACAGCAAAAGACCTCACAAATATTGGCCCTTTGAGTATTCAAAATGGAGAAAGATAGTCCATTGAAACCATTCTGGTTCGATTCGTCTCGTCAGAATGACAAGCTGCCTCTGAGGAACCCAATTGATGAGCTAGACAGCCCTCTGGCCACTACTGTGCCAGACTCAGGTCAGAGAGACCCCCATGCCGTTGCCAACGCGGAGTGCATTGTTCGCAAAAGGCTCCACGAAGCTGATCAAGGCCCACACAAACGTCGAACTTTGGAGTCCAGTTCTGTTGTCAATTCAGATGCTCTGAATAGTGACGATCTGGAGAAGATGACCACTTGTGTATACCGTTCTAGCTCCAGGCCGTCTGTCGGCAGCTCCGAGAGCCTGTACTTCTTCAACAGGGTGCCCTCCAGTCCACCGGCATCGCTCCTGAGGGATACCTATGACGATGGTGGTATGCTTCTGAGCTCTCCAAGCAAAGTGCAGACGTATCAAAGTGATGATATACAAACGTCGCAGATGACCATTGTTCCTGACCGGGGAAGCGACAGTGATGACTCCGAGAGTACAGTGGATTTCAACATAAACAACTTGAACAAAGTGAATGGCTATCTGTCCAGTGACAACCTGATGTCCGACCCGACACAGTCCAATGATACAGATGCCACGATTGTCACCAGGGGACGAATTGCACGGTGTATTGAAGAAGGCAATCCAAAATTACACATCGAGAACCTCGGATTGACGGTGTTACCGGACGACGTTGAAGATATGAAGAACATGGTTTGCTGGAACAAAGGCAGGCTGAGTGCTGCTCAGATAGAGATCTATGCTGCCCAGAACAAGCTAAAGATCCTACCTCCGTGTCTCTTCAACGTCGAGCAGATTTGTGTGCTGTCGCTACGAGGCAACAAACTGAAGAAGATCCCTGGGATCATATGGAAGATGAAGAACTTGACGGAGCTCTCCATAATGAACAACGATATAAAGGTTTTACCGTATCAGATTCTGAAGTTACCCAAACTGACCAATCTCTTGGTTCGCCCGAATGCGAACCTCATTGAGCTTCGAGACCAGGACCCTCACTCATACTACTGCATTGCCAACGCGATACCTAACCAGGACGGGGATATCCGTCGCTACGTCTCCAGGGTGAAGTGGTCACATAGGATAACGTCTGCTGAAAGAACCTCTCCCGAGAGAACGGACCGTGAGATTGCACACAGCCTTGAGGTTTCGCCTGTGCCGAAACTGAGCGAGCTGGCACTTAGACGGTTCTGTCACTACGACGTGACGCTATCAGAGACCAAGCTCTGGAAAAGAACCATACCGATATACACACAGAGGATGGTTACAAAGGCGTTGCAGAAGGGCATCTATGATGAGTGTTGTTCCGTGTGCGATAAGGTGACCGTGAACCCGATCGCGAAGGCGTTGGAGTGGTGGGACTTCAAGGACCAGACGCTTGTGCCCGTGAGACGCAACTTCTGCTGTGGCAACTGTGTGAAAGTGTGGCTGGACGACGTTGAGGACAAGCTTGAGAGGATGAGCTCGTGCTGAAATGGACAGTGCTGAAATGGACAGTGGTGTGTGTGATGTGTAGTGCGCGCGGACATGTAGGCGTCTAGACATAGACACCCGGACACCACACACCCGGACACCGTGACACCAAACACCCGTGACACCAAACACCCAAACACTACACACCCGTACACCCAAACACCCGGACACCACAGCGCCCCCAGCGCTCCCGCCCCAGCTACACTGGATCTCCAGACGCACACCGCTCCCAGCCCAAATCACCTCACCTCCCACGCTACGGCCCACGCTACGGCCCACTTTCCCGCTCCCAGACCATCTCACATTGCGTGCAGTGAAGGCACACATCCCGTGCAGTGAATTTGTACGATACAAATCCCAATCCACTGCAACCAGAGCACCTGGTGCGTGCAATTTGTTGCAGCGTGTTTTTCGTTGCTTGCCTAGCAAGGGTTTCCCGTTTTGTGCATCTCTGCCTAGGCTCAGCTGTTGTTTTTCCCCCTTGCACCACCAGATGGTCTCAGACGGTTTAATGGGGGATTAATGCAAATAAAAGGAACTTCAGCCTCAAGTCAAAAATTAGGAAGGTAATCTTTGTTTTAACTCCTCTCATACTACCATAGCTGCTATTACTAGTGCTACTACTACGTTAAACTCATATTCCGCTGGTGATACACCCAATTGTGTGTATTCGCAGCGCTGATTTTGAAGACCCCCCTGCTAAAGCTCTCTTTGTACGATGACGAAACCGTTTGTTAATGGCACTTCGTACCACACGCTGAGGGCGTCGTCGCAGAAGCTGCTACAAGAGGCAGTTTCGTTCTACACCAACATTGTCGGGCTCTCGGTTGCTCGAGAGTCGAAGGAGTCGATTCTGCTGAACTCTGGCCAGGAGTTTCCTCACACCTCTGCGTCTCTGGAGATTGTGCTTGATGAGCAGTTCCAGCAGCCTTCCTCGGAGACGCTGGCACAGGTACATAATACCGATGACTGGCGGTCTCTGAGAGGATGTGTTGTGCTGAGAGTGGATGAGCTGTCGCTCATCGTGGACCAGCTGAAGGCGTACGGTGCCTCGTGGCAGGCCTTCCCTTCCGAGCTGGCGCCTGCCGAGGTGTACGCTATTGACCCGCTAGGGTTTGTTGTTGGGTTCACATCTCTGAAGCATGCGCTCTCCACGGTTGCGCCACCGCTGAAGGAGTCTGTGATCTTTGACGACGACCAGCTGACCTCGGCAGCGGTCACGGCGGTCCTCACAGAGCCTGTCAAGCAGCAGCGTAACATTGCTGTGATGACATCTGGTGGTGATGCCCCTGGAATGAACGCTTGTGTGCGCGCCGTGGTGCGTGCTGCTATCTACAGGGGCTGTAAGGCTTTTGCAGTGTATGAAGGCTATGAAGGTCTTGTCAGAGGTGCCGATTACATCAAGGAGATGGACTGGCAAAGCGTCCGTGGCTGGTTGAGTGAAGGTGGTACCAATATCGGTACCGCCCGTTGTGCAGAGTTCAGAGAACGGGCTGGACGTTTGCTGGGTGCTAAGCACTTGATCGAGTCTGGTATTGACGCGTTGATCGTCTGTGGTGGTGATGGTTCGCTTACCGGTGCCGATCTCTTTAGAGCTGAGTGGCCTTCGCTTATTGATGAGCTGCTCAAGACTGATCAAATCACAAAGGAGCAACACGATAGACATAAACACTTGAACATCTGTGGAACTGTGGGATCTATTGATAACGATATGTCCTCCACTGACTCTACAATTGGTGCTTATTCATCTTTGGATAGAATCTGTGAAGCTGTGGATTACATTGATGCCACTGCCAACTCCCATTCAAGAGCGTTTGTCATTGAAGTGATGGGAAGACACTGTGGTTGGTTGGCACTTATGGCTGGTATTGCCACTGCTGCTGATTACATTCTGATCCCAGAGAAACCGGCAAGCTCAAGGGAATGGCAAGATCAGATGTGTGACATTGTTGGCAAGCACAGGGCCCGTGGTAAACGTAAAACCATTGTTATCGTTGCTGAAGGTGCCATTGCTGCTGATTTGACCCCAATTACCTCGAAGGATGTCCTCAAGGTTCTTGTCGATAGACTAGGATTGGATACCAGAGTGACCACATTGGGCCACGTCCAAAGAGGTGGTACTGCTGTTGCATGGGATCGTATTCTTGCTACTCTTCAAGGTGTCGAAGCTGTTGAAGCCGTCTTACAATCCACACCAGAGACTCCTTCTCCTATGATTGGTATCGTTGAAAACAAGATCTGCCGTAAACCATTGGTTGAAGCCGTCAAGTTGACAAAACAAGTTGCACAGGCTATCAGCGAGAAGAACTTCAAAAAGGCAATCTCGTTGCGTGATTCTGAGTTTGTCGAACATTTGAGCAACTTTATGGCAATCAACTCTGCTGACCATAATGAACCTGTTCTCCCACTAGAACAGCGTCTCAACATTGCAATTGTCAACGTTGGTGCGCCAGCTGGTGGTATGAATTCAGCAGTATACGCAATGGCAACATACTGTATGTCTCGTGGTCACACACCTTATGCCATTCACAATGGATTCTCAGGTTTGGCAAGACACGAATCTGTTAGATCCATCAATTGGTTGGATATCGAGGGCTGGACATCTAGAGGAGGTTCCGAACTTGGTACAAACAGAACAACACCTCAAGAAGCCGATATCGGTATGATTGCATACTACTTTGATAAGTATCAATTTGACGGTTTGGTGATTGTTGGTGGTTTCGAAGCGTTTGTATCACTGCACCAATTGGAACAAGCTAGAAAGGATTATCCAGCGTTCCGTATCCCTATGACCTTGATTCCTGCAACAATTTCCAACAACGTTCCAGGAACTGAGTATTCTCTTGGTTCTGACACCTGTTTGAACTCTCTGATGAAGTACTGTGATATTGTCAAACAGAGTGCTTCGTCAACAAGAGGTCGTGCCTTTGTTGTTGAGGTTCAAGGTGGTAATTCTGGTTACATTGCAACAATGGCCCAATTGGCGTGCGGTGCTCAAGCATCTTATGTTCCAGAAGAGGGCATTCCATTAGAGCAGTTGGATATGGATATTGAAAACTTGAAACAGTCTTTCACTCTGGCATCCGGTAAGTCCAAGTCAGGTAAGCTGATTTTGAAATCAGAAAATGCCTCTAAGGTGTTAACGACAGATGTGATTGCTCAGATCATCACGGACGAGGCACAGGGAAGATTTGATGCAAAGACTGCCGTGCCGGGTCACGTCCAACAAGGTTCATTGCCATCTCCTATGGATCGTACAAGAGCTACAAGACTTGCAGTTAAAGCTGTTCAGTTCATTGAAGAGAAGCAAGAAGTCACCAAACCAACTCGTTTCCTCGAAAACTTTGACCCACTTGATAGTGAAGTTTCTGCCACTGCATCCATTGTTGGTGTCAAGAGATCACACCTTAGATTCGCTAGTATTCGCCAAGTGTACGATTTCGAGACATCTTTGGTGACGAGAATGCCAAAGCACATTCACTGGAAAGATACCAGAGAAGTTGCAGACCTCCTTGTCGGCAGAACGAAGCTTGCGTTGTAACGATCTTCCGAGCTATGTATATTTGCATAATTTATGATTTAAATGCTGAGCCATGTTGTAGCAATCTGATTGTGTGTTGATCGCTGGAGATCAACACCTGGCACTTTGCTGATTGAGAACAATTACAGTGAACACAAGATCTATGAACTTGTTGGGTTGATGATGAGCTGTTTGGAGGGCTATAGAACAAAAAAAAATTTGGACGAGTCCGGAGTCGAACCGGAGACCTTTCGCATGCTAAGCGAACGCGCTACCAACTACGCCACACGCCCCAATGTTGAAAATGAAATGTGCACGCTTCAACAGACGACAAGAGTATGGCGATAGTCAAAGCTTCCAATCACAGTGATGAACAGCTCATCTGTTGAATAAGGTAGAGAAAGGGAATGTACGTGAAGCCACGTTAAAGTGCAATGACAGTGACCGGCTGGGCAGAACAGTTGCACTACAGTGGCGCTACGTGTGAACCGGCAGACGAGATAATGCCATCTCATATTATATTATATTATATTATATTATATAATATTATATTATATACCACTGCCGTGATACAGTCGTCAAGCATCAAGTGCATAATTCGGCATCGCTTTCGTCGTCTCTTTCCTCCACCAGTGGTCATATCTCTCCATTCAACACGTCACTCATCTGCTCCTGTCACCACATCAATTGGGTGGATCACAGCCTCTTGCTTTGCTATAAACATCCACAGTCACCTTGCAGCGTATCCTTCGCACACTGAAGAGAGCCCTGTCCAATATCACAGAGTGTTGAAGCTATACATATTCCATCACATAAAGCCATGAGCCGCTTGCTGGAGGTGTTTATACGGGCAAACAGCTCTTCTGAAGAGGACACAGATACCTGCGACTCCTCGAATGACTACAATGGACGAGAGCTCTTGAGAATCGTCGCCATCTTCATGGTGATGGCCATGTCAGCCTTTGGATCTTTCCTCCCACTACTCTCTTCCAAGTACTCATCTATACGTCTGCCTCAGTGGGTATGGTTCCTGGCCAAATTCTTCGGTTCCGGGGTCATCGTCGCCACAGGGTTTGTTCACTTGTTGCAGCCTGCCAATGAGGCCCTCTCGAATGACTGCTTAACAGGCCTGGTCACTGAGTATCCATGGGCATTTGGTATCTGTCTGATGTCATTGTTTGCTCTCTTCTTCAGTGAAATCATTGCTCATCACTTCCTGAAGAGGGCTACAAGAGGTGGGAGTGGCCAGCAGGGCACAGTTCACAGTCATTCTCACTTTGGAGAGCTCAGTAAGCCCCAAGATGACGAGGCTCTGCCATCATCTATGCAGATGGAAGAGGATGAGTATGAGGAGGCAGTACCTCTGGTGGACTATTCGTATAGCACATCTGAGGCTAGCACGAGCAATTATTACCCTCAGAGCTCACAGCAGCAGGGCAGTGCAAATTATTTCAGCCAGATCCTATCAGTGTTCATCTTGGAGTTTGGTATTGTCTTCCACTCGGTGTTTGTAGGGCTCTCATTGGCCGTTGCTGGCGAAGAGTTCCAAACACTTTTCGTTGTGATTATGTTCCACCAGATGTTTGAAGGCCTGGGACTAGGGACGAGGATAGCAGAGTGTCCCTGGGATGAAAGTCGAAGAAGAACACCGTGGATATTAGCACTGGGGTTCACTTTGACTACTCCAACAGCAATTGCCATTGGGCTCTGTGTTAGAAGCTCCTACTCCCCAGGATCAGCAAGAGCTTTGATCATCAATGGAGTATTTGACGCAATATCCTCTGGAATATTGATCTATACTGGTCTTGTTGAGCTCATGGCACACGAGTTCTTGTACTCATCACAGTTCGACGGAGAAGATGGGCTCACACGGATGTTGGTCGCCTTCCTCGTGATGTGTTCCGGTGCTGGGCTAATGGCTTTGCTCGGTAAATGGACATGAACACATGTACGCTACTGTTATGTTTAAAGAATGTATATAACATTAATGGATACTTTACAAATCTATTCAATCTCTCTCGTTATCCTTGACTGTTCTCTCCAAGTGGTCCAGTTGGTCGAGGATTTCCTTACAAACCGTGCTATAATCCTGGCCGTTAAATGCACTGAGCTCAATCTTCAACTCGCAAACGAGGAAGTGCATGTTTCTCCACTGGATCAGTTCGAAATCGTATCCAACCCTCTTAGCCATACCTGGACCATAGAGTCGCAGTCTTTCACCGTTTGATTCAAAGACCTTCCCTTCTTCCTTCAGAGTCACTGGGTTCAACTTTGGGAAGTTTGCATGAACAAACAGTATGCGAGGGTCCTTTGCCAAAGGTGGCAGGTCTTGATCCAAATCTTTGCTCAGCTGCTCACGTCTCTTCTTACTCAGCTCCAGGTTATAGTCCTCCACTGGATCGTACTGGCCCATTCCACAGCCAACAAAATCGTGTTCCAGGTTGAAATGACCAAACGCATTCAGGAACTTCTTCACCTGGTACGAAGGAGAGCCCAGAGCCACGGTGGCAGCAAGGAACGTCTCTTTGTCACCTTCACCATCAGAGCCTTGTGACAGCAGTGGGTAGTAATAATCAGGCCCATACAGGTTGTAGTAGAGAGCCAACAGCAACTCTCTTGAATGAGTTCTCTTTGAGATCATAAGCTGGCCAGATTCAGAGGTAGGATCTGGGATTGTGCCCTTTCTGTCATGGAACGACACTTCCTCCAAGTCCTTATCACGATCGTCATAGCCAAATCTTACCCTTTCGTTCGTAACTTCAATGTTTGCAATTTCATAGAACATTGGAGAAGTTGCACGTCTCCAGAAGTCTGGCCATGTTATAAGCCCTGAGCTCTTGAAGGGCTCATTCTCAAAGAGGTAGTCTGGTGCGTGTGCTGGTATGTTATCTGAGTCCAGTAGCAGCACGTTCTCAAAGGATGACACCATTATCGCCAACGCTTTGTACTGGTATCCTTTGAATTGGAACTTCGACGTTGCCGTGTCACCGAGAGCATGTGGCAAGAGGATACATTTGGCATCCAAAGCCGGGAAGATCCTCGTACAGAGGTCGATTTCGTACTCATCTTCAGAAGGTATAACAACCTCCACAGGTAGAGTGGAGCCCAATGATCTCAACGATTTGATCGACAGCAACGCCAGCCAGTTGAATTTACCACCACCGACGTATACGATCCCGTTCCCCTTATAGATGCCACCTGGAGCACTCTTGGGCAAGTTCTCCACCACGGTGGCATGTGACTGTTTCAAGCTCGACACCTCATCGCCAGAGAGCTGGAGGAACCCTCGCAGGTACTCCTCCGTGAACACGATTTCAGAAGGACCATCGTACCCTGCGTGGTATATACGGTCCTCCGTCTTATACTTGTTCAGCTTACCAATGGACGGCTTCCCCTTCAAGAATATGTCAAACACAGCGTTGTAGAACTTCTGAGCAGCTGCGGCCCTTCTTCCAAACGTCTCGCTGTCCATGAGCAGCAGTTCCTTCAACCGTGAGTTCTTCAGCCCGGTGAGCGTGTCGACCTGTGCTTGCTTCTCTCCTTGTGGCTGCTGCTGTTGTTGTGATTCTCGTAGCTGCTGCTTCTGCTGCTCTTGTTCCTTCTCGGCCTCGTACACCTGCTGTCCTGCTTGTTTACCGTGTGGTTGTTGATCCTGGTGCTGCTCACCACCGTGCGCCTTCCCACGGTTCATCTTGTAGAAGGGGACCGTCTCACCGTCGCCAGCAGCCACCTCCGCCTGCTGTGACTGCCCGTGCTGCTGGTGCTCTTCGCCTACCCGTTGTTGTGCAATAGTGCCCGTCCCTTGAGGCACCACCACTAGCTGGTACGCAAACAAGCCCAGCACGATCAGCAGCACCACCAGCACGGTGCCTCTCTTGTGGAACGCTCTCTTCAGCCTGTACAGGAATATGTTCATTGCGGCCAATCTTCTCACCAAGCGAGCACACCTGGGAGGGTCCAGTGGAGGAGGTGAAATTGTGCAACGAGTGAAATCTTTGTCTTCCACACCGAGCGTACGCGAGCGCGAGGAGGTGTTGTTGGAGAGAGAAGAAGCGCGCTGGGAGAGCTAGGCAGAGCTGGGCGGAAAACAGGCAGAGCTGGGCAGAAAACAGGCAAAGCCGCTCTGTGCTGTGATGCTCACAGCGCGCACGCGCGCCGCTGAAAAAATAAAAACACACGGAAAAATCTGCTGGGCTCAGAGTTCGACGCGCGCGGTTTTGAGCTGCTCGGAATTTTTAGCGAGACAAGTCGGAATGGGCGAAGAAGCTGGCGTACTGGGGGCTTCCATTGGCTTCCATTGGCTTCCATTGGCTTCCACTGGCTGGCGTGGGCGCTGTGGACGTGTGGAGAGGAACTGGCAGCCTGTGCTGGGAGCTGGTCCCCGGTGGTGGGAGCTGTGCCCGGCGTCACCTTCCCTGGGAGCATACGTGCGTATGTACCCTCCCAATTGGCTGTGCGCAAGGTGCCCTCCGCCAGTTTCACAGTCTGCAACGGTGCCCACGCAGCGCTCTGCTCGCTATCGCTGTGCGCCCACTGCTGGTGCGAGTGGTGGTAGCAGCGGTGGTAGCGGTGGTAGCGGTGGTAGCGGTGGTAGCAGCAGCGGTGGCGGTGGGACGGAGAGTCGGCTGATCTCCCCTGGAAAGGAGAGCATCGTCGCTCATCAGTGGAGGGCTTAGCCGTGATTGCGCCAGAGATCCACCTCTGTACGCTGCGTTAGGACCGATATCCAACCTCTGCTTAGGCACCAGTTCTCTCTGCTTTGCTGCCAGCGCTGGAGGCACAGCACTGGAGGCACAGCAGCGCACGGTGCGTTTGCCACCATAATGGCGTACGGAATGTTGCCGGTGTCGCTAGAACGTCTCTCCTCCACTACAAACTACACAGTGCTACACTAAAGCGTACAAGTCTCTGATACGTGCGATATTCGAGCCGTCCTACGTACTCTACACCAGTGCCCCAGTGCTCCAATGGCCCGTCACTGTGGAAGAAGAGATCCTACACCCTCATCGCACAGTCCTCCTGCGATAGCCCATGCAACTCCAATGCTGCGCACTGCGACTCTCACCATGGCACCCAGAGGATGGGCTTCATGGCACCCAGAGGATGGGCTTCATGGCACCAGGTCGTTGGCCTCATAGCACAGAGCCAGGCTGGCTTCTACCCTCTATCCGGGAGGTCAACGCCCCTGGCTTTGAGCCCTCAGGAACCGTGGAGTACAGCTGTAATCGTGCGCCGTGAAGTCCAGTTTCGGATCACATGAACATCGACTGGCCAACCTCGTCGGCGAGTCACAAGGACAACGCTGGTATGGAGGATGCTCATAGCCGATGTCTTGGAACCACTTGATCTCGTGCGGAGGCACAGTCAGGCTGATGAAGATGCTCCGCACAGGGCCGTCGCCCCATCTCTCATAGAAGAACCCTCCCTTGCTGTCGAGATGGTTGAAGTACTCGGTGTACTCTTCGCTTCTGAAGAGATCCAGGTCGCCAATCTCAAAGTTTGTCCAGAAATGACACAGGTTATAGGCGCCATCGTCCTCCAGGATGAACCTGTGTGTGTTCTCCCGTGCCACGATGCTGCCCTCGTGGCCTCTGCTGGTGAAGAACTCGACGACTGACGGGAACAGGCTCGGAATCGTCATATAGTACTCGAGGATGGAGATGACGAAGCCGTAGCGATACTTCTTCTCCGCCATCTCGGTGAAGGGATCATAGTTGATGTCGCACGAGTACTCAACGCCGGGCTCCACTCGCCAGTAGTACTTGTAAGGTAGCACCAGCTCGTGCCACTGGAAGAACCCTGAGAACCACCGGCACATCTTCCGATAGCTGAGAGAGTCTCCGTAGATCACATCCAGCGATTTCAGCGACTCCATGTTCCGGAACATGGCCTGCTGGTCGATCCAGTCGGGCACTGACCAGTGTTCCGGCCTCACCTGGCCAAACCTCACATGCTCGCTCGAAACCATAGCCGTGATGGCCTCCTTGAACTCCTCCGTGAACGGCTTATCGTTCAGAAACACCCAATCGTAGTGGTATCGCGAGTTGAACCTATCCTCTATCGACTGCACTGTGCGCAGCATATCGTACAGGTCCTCATTGCGACAGAGGGTCAGGAACGTGGCATTCTGCCTCACAGGCTCTACTCCACGCACCAATTGGTCGTCTCGAACGTGATGGCCGTTGCTGAGATGGCTCATCGCAACATTCCACCCCAGTTCCGTCCACGAGGTTATCGCAAGCACCAAAGCAGCAATTAATCCCACCAACCAGCTCATCATGGCCCTAATCAAATCATGCAGAGCAAGACTGATCAACTCAACGACAAAATATCACCACAAGTGGTCTTGAAAGATAGCTTAGAGGCCAATTGATCCACCAGTGCAACACAGCCTGTGCCTGGAATCGCCCTCTATCGTCAAAACTGCCCCATAAGCCTCAATCAACTGATGTGGAAAATTTTTGTTGGCACATATGAAATTGCATCACCCTGGTAACGGAAACTGTAGCAATGTTCACTTTAAGCACCAGAGACGGTTTATATCCACGTTGAAGTACAGGAGATATAGCAAATGGTTGCCGAAAGAACATTCATTATGCTTTTATATGTACAAGAACCCCCCTCTACTGTGTATTTCTTCAATACTCTTCGACAATCTCCTTCATTCTCTCTGCCGTGACCTGTTCCATGCCTTTGAACTCCATGTGATAGGTTGCTCTTCCCTGAGTCAAGGCACGCAGCTTTGGCAAGTAGCCAATCATCTCCTTCAATGGCACCTGTGCGTTGATCTTCTGGCCGGTGGTGAAGTCCGTTCTCAGCTTGATGAACTCCAAGGTGGGATCGTACGGGACGTACTGGTTCTCGCTAATCAGCTTGAACTCGGCCAACGAACTCGATGCCTCATCTTCATCTATTGAGTCGATCACACCTTTCCGAACAGAGGTTAGATCCTGGATAACAGAGCCGATGTCCTCAGGCGAAACCTCGACAGAGACCTTCATCATGGGCTCCATGATGTTGAAGTTGTCGGAGCTGGAGAGCAGCTGTGCAAACAGTTGTCTCGTAACGTTGATAAGCACGGTGGCATCCTGGAAGTCGTCTGCCACATCGATGGAATCAATGGTGACCAGCACGGAGTGTAAGGGCAGCTTCAAGATCGGGCCTCTCTGGATAGAGGAGATGGTTCCCGATATGATGGCATTGGTCAACGTCTCATACGGCATGAGCTTGTGTAAGTTCCAGTCCTTTGGCTCGTAAGGCACTGCCAAATAGTTGTGATCTGAAAGGTCAACGTATCTCATGTTCTTTGGAAGTTTGGAGGCCTCTTGAGGGTTCTGTTCAATGCTGATGGACAGTTTCACCCCATCTTGCTCCTTTTCACCACTGGCCTTCTCCAGTATTGTTTCCTTGTAGGACACCATAATCTTACCCAGTTCGACCTTAGCCTTCAAGTCATCGAGCCTGCCCTTGGCGATCTCCAAGTGCAATTCGCCCATACCACTTAGCAGTGTCTGGCCTGATTCTTCGTCCACGGTAACCTTTAAGCTGGGGTCCTCCCGCAGCAACACCTCCAAGGCATCATCCATGGATCGCTTATCACCAGAGGTCCTTGGCTCTAATGAGATGGTGAATACAGGTGGTGGAACCTCGATTGGATTCACCACGAGATCTGTGTCTTTGATCTTCTTCTTTTGAGTGTTGAACAGGATTGTATCGCCAGTCTTAATCTTGTCACTGACAATAACACCAATGTTTCCAGCAGTGATCTCTGACACTTCCTGTGGAACATTGGCGTTCATGATCAAGAGCTTACCAATCTTGACGGGCTCGCCGTGGACGTAGATGGTGGAGTTACTGACGAGCTTGCCTGTGTAGACCCTGACAAACACCATGACGCCTCTGATTGGATCAGTGGTGACTTTGAATGCCAGAGCAATCGACAGCTTATCGTTACCTTTGACCTGGAATCCGTTCTCCTTGTTCAAGACCAGGTCTGTGTTCAAATCAGGCGTGATGTCCACAGGAGATGGCAAGTAGGAGTTGACGGCATCCATAAGAGGCTGTACACCAATGTTCTTGAAGCTAGCACCACACAATACCGGCACCGCATGGTTCTCCAGCGTTGATTTCCTAATGGCTCTCTGTATCAAGTCGTTTGGTATCTTCATGTAGTCCTCAGTCTCCAGGAACGCATCCACAACGGCCTCGTCAACCTCGCCCAGAGTCTCCACCAAGGACTCTCTGCACTTGGTGATTTCCGCTAGAGAATCGCCTTCAGGCTCCTCAACGGACACCTTGTCACCCTCGTCCCAGCGTATCACCTTCTGGTTCACCACATCTAGCACGCCCGTGAACCTGGGCTGTCTTCCAACCGTGCTGAACAGGGGAACATTACACAGCAACACCTTGGTCCCCAGCTTAGCAACGATCTCCTTAACAGTCCGGCCGTACCCAGCTCCTTCCCTGTCCATTTTGTTCACGAAGATCAGCTTGGGAGTCGTCATGCTCTGCTTCCAGACCTTCTCAGTCTGGGCCTCAACACCGGCCACCGCGTCCAGAATGGTGACAACACCATCCAGCACCTTCAGCGACCGGATCACCTCGAACGTGAAGTCGGCATGGCCCGGAGTGTCGATCAGGTTGATCCGATGGCTATTCCATGGGATCGTGGTCGCAGCAGACTGGATCGTGATCCCCCTCGCACGCTCAGCTGGCAGGAAGTCCGTCACAGTGTCGCCTTGGTCAACATTGCCGATCCTGGACGTCAGCCCAGAGTAGAACAGCATCCGTTCAGTGGTGGTGGTCTTCCCAGCATCGATGTGCGCAATGATGCCAATGTTCCTTATCCGGCTAATGGGCACCTTCATCGTCGTTCCACCGGCTGTGCCCTGATCTTGCTGCGCTTGCTGGCGTGGTGAGCGCAGTGGGAAAACGTATACATAGTGAAAAATTTCTCTTCACGGGCTCAACAGCCTCTTCCCACCAGGCTGGACGAGACCAGAACCCGCAAGCCCAGCACTGGCCATGACAGACTTCGACATCAAGAAGACTTATCTCAAGTTCTTGGAGGATGACCAGGAGATGACGATGCCCATAGCGGCGATCGAGTCGCTAGTGACGCTGCTGAAGGTGAAGCAGCCCTCGACCTCCACGGAGCTCATCACGCTGTTACAGGACGCCACACGGGACCTCAAGCAGTCCATTCCGAACGCTGTGTCATTGTCTGCCGGGTGTGACCTGTTCATGAGGTTCGTGCTGAGAAACACACACCTGTACCATGACTACGAGAGCTGTAAGAAGCACCTTGTTGAGAACGGCCAGCTGTTCCTGGAGCGGTCCAAGGCGTCGAGAGATAAGATCGCAGAGATCGGCTCCAAGTTCATCACGGACGACGACACCGTGCTGGTGCACTCCTTCTCGAGAGCGGTGTACTCGCTGCTGAGCCACGCGGCAGACCGCAAGATCAGGTTCAGGGTCGTGGTCACGGAGGCCAGACCAACGTTCCAGGGTGAGCGCATGGCCAAGTACCTCAGGGAGAAGAACGTGCCCGTGAGCCTGATCGTGGACTCAGCAGTCGGCTTCGTGATACACAAGGTGGACAAGGTGCTTGTGGGCGCCGAGGGCGTTGCCGAGAGTGGAGGCATCATCAACCACGTTGGCACATATCAGATCGGAGTGTTGGCGAAGGCCGCCAACAAGCCATTGTACGTTGTTTCAGAGTCCCACAAGTTCGTCAGAATGTTCCCGTTGGCTCCAGACGACATCCCAACGGACCACGACCCTTTACGCCACTTCTCCACGTCGAACGACGACCAGGTGTGCTCGCCATTGATCGACTTCACTCCTCACGAGTTCCTCACGGCGTTGATCACGGACCTGGGGGTGCTGACACCGGCTGCCGTGTCTGAAGAGCTGATCAAGATGTGGTACGACTAGTTTGGTTAGTTGTTAGTGCCGTTTTTACGTATATATAGAATAGTGAAGCAGACAAGGCCTTGCGCATGTTATAAGGCATCGTATAAAATCCAATCTATAAAGCTCTCTTGTTCTCATCCAGTTGGTCAATGGTGACGTCCTCACTCAGCACGCTCTTGATATCCTTCAAGATGTCTTTGAAAGAGTCGAACTGCGTGAATGGGATCTTGTCACGGCGACAGATCGTGACCAAGTCCTTGCCTCTCTTAGCAAACAGCAAGTCGGTCTCCCTGGCAGCAGACAGGTCTGAGACTCCATCGCCACAGTAGAACAGCTTCTGCTGCGACCCACTCGGTCTGGCCTCGCTGTATGGTCTGATGGCCCTGGACTTGTCATGGCCAAAGGGCGTCTCATCTCTGTACGAGATTCTCCACGACTGGTCCTCCGCGTTGACCTCCACGTCGTTGGAGACGATCTCGATTCTCTCCACGGCCTCCTCGCCCACCAGCTTCTGCAGCAGGGCCTTGATGATGGGCTTCATACCACTGGACACAACCACGATCGGGATGTCGTTCTGCTCACACCAGTGGAACGTCTCCTTGAACCCGGGATCCAGCTCAATGTGCTGCAACAGATACTCGACAGACTCGTCGAACGGTGTCGGGATGGACTCCAGCATCTGCGAGAAGGCGTCTCTGAAGCTCATCGCCCCGTTCAGGATCAGCTCGTTCAGCTCCAGTCTCTTCGCCAGCCCGAAGCCAAGGTTCTCCGTGAGATAGTCGTTGGAATCCTGGAGAGTGACTGTGCCGTCAAAATCGGTGAAGATGATGGCCTTCTTGTTCTCATACTCTTTGACAAATGACATCTTGCTGTGCTCCACGCTGCTGTTTCTCTTCTTCCCGGTAACGTCTCTCGATCCAGGCCGAACTCTCGTGATTGGACGTGTCTATCGTTCTATGTCTCCTCGACGATTGCTCAAGAACTCAGTGCCTCTGCTCAGCAACACCACATGGGTAACGAGGAGATGTTGGTGGAATGCTCGGTGGCCGTTGCCGTGGGTTTAGGCGCGCGGGCATCTTTGGTGTCGAGATGTTTCCAATTTTCTGCAGTAACAGGGGCAACCGCCGAGATGCTGAAGGGTGGACACGGAGGGCGGATATGACGTCATATGTTGGCCTGGGTGGGAATGTCCGGTGCGGTGGTGGACAGAGGACACGGTGGGCTCAATGAGGGATGCGATGAGGGTGCTGGGCTGGTTCTGGAGGAAGATGTGTATGTGTGTGTGATGTCTATGCCTGAAGCCCTTCGGCTCCAGTCAGTAGTAGTACGTACATATACTTCGATTAACCATTTTCCACTCAGTCTTGGATGACTAAGCCCGCATAAATCAAAACAAGAACAAGGGCGTGTGGCGTAGTTGGTAGCGCGTTCGCTTAGCATGCGAAAGGTCTCCGGTTCGACTCCGGACTCGTCCAATTTCTTTTTTGCAGTTTTTTTTTCACCGCGCGGGCAGCATTGATTACGTCAGCAACACAGTGTGTACTCAGACCGGGCACTGCGCTAAATCAACACACAACAACAAAGCCAACCATCGCTTCAAGCCAATATTCCACCGTTGGGAGCCCAAGAAAGCCTGTAACCATGAAGTACCTGATAGTGCTGTCGAGACAAGGGAAGATAAGACTGTCCAAGTGGTACGTTCCACTGTCACAGAAGGATAAGGCGAAGATAACAAGGGAGCTGACCGCACTGGTGTTAGGGAGAAAGGCAAAGATGTGCAACATCTCAGAGTACAAGGGTAAGTAGCGCTGAAGCTGGGACGTTGACGAGCAATGTACTAACCACTGACTATCTATAGACTCTAAGATAGTTTATAGACGCTACGCTTCGCTTTTCTTCATCGCAGGTGTGGACAACGAAGAGAACGAATTGCTAACATTGGACATAATCCATAGGTTTGTCGAACAGATGGACAAAGCGTATGGCAACGTGTGTGAGTTGGACATCATATTCAACTTCCAGAAGGCATACCATATACTGGATGAGCTGTTGATTGGTGGCGATATAGTTGAAAGTTCCAAGAGAGAGGCGCTCAGAAGGGTTGGGCAGCAAGACCAGTTCGAAAGCTTGGACCAATTGGACAGCGTGATAGCATGACATCATCCCCACACTGTCTCAATGTCTACAAGTAGAAGAGAAATGTACATTAATGGTAAACGTGAATTGATACGATGGAGCCGCAGTTTCAGTTGGCCGATATGTCTTTGACCAACAGACCTATGTAGTCTTCTTCGTTGGTGTTGGATCTCAACACGTTTCTATTGTCTGCTTGGAAGATCTCTTTCTTCAGTGCTAATGATGCCTCTGAAGAAGAATCAACCCAGGGAAGTTGGGTAAAGGACTCATCTTCAACTTTCTTTCTAGCCATTAATGCCTCCCCCAATCTTGGAGCATTGTCGTTAGAGCTCTTAACAGACATCTGAACAACCTGTACCGTATCTCTACCTGAGTGGTTATTCTCTAATCTGTGTAAGTCCCTGGCTGTCGCTATTTCTTTGTCGATATAGTTCAAGCTAGGTCTCAACTGTGCAACTTTGTCCAACTGGCAAAGAACAATCTCCCCATTTTGTACGTTGGCAGCGTAATACCCCTCTAGACCAATCAGTACACCGCTCAATGTCTGCTTGTTAACTCCACCCCATTCATCGCTCTTGTTGACGTCAAAGAACTTGCTTGTATCAATTGGTACATCTGCCTCTAAGAGGTCGGTGGATGGTTTTAATCTGGTGCTCAGGACGTGTGATTCGTTCTCGTAATGTCTCGCTGAAGGACGGCCTGGGTATTGTAAAGCACATAGTTGAGTCTGAGCCGGCTTAGAAGTGATTATCATTGGAATCTCCGAAACCACTGGATCTTCATCCTCTCCGTGGTCTTGCGGTATGAAAGTTGGCGACTCACTCCCAGTGTTCGTCATAGGCTCATCTTCATCATCACTAACAAAGAGCTTACTCATGATAGCGGCTTGTCAAGATTCAGGAATAACACACGAATCCACCTATACCTTCAGGTCTAAAGCCCCAAACATCGAAAGTTTGAAGAGCATCTCATCGTCACTTCAAATTTTTGTACATAGCGTATATGGGACCGCTGCTGATTAAGATATTACCTAAGCACCTATCTGTCTAGCTAACGGTACCCTTTTCGTACTTCAACAGAGCTCGCGTGGCGTAATGGCAACGCGTCTGACTTCTAATCAGAAGATTCTGGGTTCGACCCCCAGCGTGAGTGCTTTGTTATATTTTTTTTTGGTTGTGAATGTGAGACAACTTACGTAATCAACCTGCGGCGACCAGGTGGATAGACGAACTGATATATTGAGCACTGATTATGATATGACTATGCTTCTTGTTCAACCCACGCACACTGTAAGGATACAAAGGATGAAGCTCTTTATTCTACACCACTATTATACCATAATCGTGTCATATCATCATTAGTCCATTCTGAGGTACGATAAACTATACAACTTTGACGTGGGCAGGCACTTCAACACAGCACTTGATTTCCCTTCCCCATTCACTCATCAGGATTTGTTTACCGTTAATTCTTCTGGATGGTACAGGATCCAAGATGGAATATATCACATTTCTGCATCTGCTTCTCTTGATTTGCTCTATTGGTTCGTAGCCCTCTTTAACTTTTCTTCCTTCGAGATACTTGACGTAGAATTCATCATCTTGAGTAGCGGTTCTCCACAGATGACGGCCAGTACGCATGGCCATGTAGATAACACCACATGCCCAAATATCGACACTTCTTGGGTCGAATTCCTCTGAAGTATACTCCTCTGGAGCAATGTAGGGTGAAGACCCGCAGATTCCACCAGACATGTGTACTTCTTTCTCCCACGCCATTCTAAAGCACTCACCGTTACCAAAATCCGTGATCTTTAAGGTACCACGATCAGTCAGCAGTAAATTCTCCGGTTTCAAATCACGATGAGCGACACCCATAGAATGCATATAGTTAACACCACGCATCAGCTGCTTGAAGAAACAGTCAGCCTCCACATATTCCAGTTTACCGGCAGCAATGATCAAAGTGTACAAATCACCACCAGAACAATACTCCATAACCTCGACATAGTCACCTTTGGCATCCTGTAGAAGATCCAACGTTTCAATGATGTTGACGTGTTTGAGAGAGCTGGAGATACAAAACTCCGATGTTAGTCTTCTGGAGTACTTGTTATCGGATTCTCCAGGACGTCTTTTGAACTCCTTTATTGCGTATAATGATTCGACGCCTTGTTGAGTGCGTTTATGGGCCACTCTAACAACACCAAATGTTCCCTTACCAACAGTCTCTTGACATTTACCGTATCTTTCAGCAAAAGTCAACGACTTATTACTCACCGCTGAAGTCATTGGTATTGTGCCATTCCCCCAGTTCGGAGCAGGGAACCTGCTTGCGATTTGGCCAGATGAAGGTGAATCACCATTGGGTACCTTCACCGTAGTTGCTCCCGAGAATGGGTTGTCCTGATCACCCTGATAGTCCTTCACCAAATTAGCAAACAACGATGGCGGTCCGCTTTGCATCAGGTCGGGCACAGTGGAAACTGCCTCATCTCTAATCTTGGAGGACTGTAACAAGTTTCGGAGCATCTTGGATAGTTTTTCTTGTCTCTTGTTGTTGGTCAAGTGATGCGCATGTGTGCCGTCTTCGTTGATAACAAATCTTACAAACTGTTTGGACTTGTCCTTCTCTTTGTCCATAGAGGAGTTGATCGAAGCTGTTCTGCTGACCTGGATGTTTTTGGAAGCACCATTCTCAACCCTGATACTCGGTGAGCGACTCGGTACTGTTTGCTTTGGTGGTGGTGGCGAATAAGAGTCTATCTCCAGATCTGACGCTTCGTCTATTTTCAACTCCTGGATCGGTGGCACCATAACTGGGCTCTTCTTGTTATTCAGCGAGGACAAATCAAGGTGAGAGTTGTTGAGAGACGAGCACATGGATGATGAAGTGGAATAACCTTCGTGTTCCGTCTGTTGGCCTTGTTGTTGTTGTGCAGGTGGTGGCCCCTGCTGCTGTAGTGGCGACTGTGGTGCCAGCGGTGATGTCGTTTGCTGTAGCGCCTTGGTTGGAGGAGATGTTGGTGTTTGACCTGTGGTCGTCCCGGCACTGCTTGAAGCTGAGGACACACCAAACATCTTACCAATCTTAGAAAGCGTTGACTTTCGTGGGCGGTTTCCTTCAGCAGCCATCGCCCTTGCCTGTATATCTTCAACCCTAAAACACACGCAACTTGCGCTCCTTCAAACGGCCACAGCTAGCGCAAATCTCAATCAGCAGTGCAAACGCACGTTTGGTGATATTCCTTCCCTTTAATGCTTTCGTAGGGGGATGTGTAGTGCTTCAATGTGCTGCGAACGCAGGCCTTTGGATGCTCTCGGCACACAGACGTAGCAGCCTGAAAGGGGACTCGTTCTCTGGCTGGGAGGAGATTAGAGCGTAAACAGCGCCCAGAAAGACTGCAAAAGAAAGAAAACGAGAGTGATAGAGACTCAAGGAGGCTGAGCCAATTGGTGACTATTCAACGATTACTTGTCTCAAAGGGGAAACCTCAAGCAAAGTACAGTCTTCTGAGACCTTCAGGGATTTGGAAAACAGGACAGTGGGAAATTTATCACCTCGTGCTTTTCCGTTAACTTTCGCTTCCAGGAGCTCAGCAGCTGAGAACCCAGGAAACAGAAGAAAAATTCAAATTTTCTCAGCGTGCGCTCTGCTGAAGTTTATAGGGGGACTGCTGTGCGTTTTTCGTCACTTTTGGTGTCCTGGCCTCACTTTCTCCCTCGCCTTCTCGTGTTCCGCCGGGCGTCAATTCGAGATGCTCAATTTTCCCTTGTTGTAAACCACTTCGGTACTGTGCCTGAGTGTGAGCTTCGCTTCGAGTTTTGGCGTTGAAAATTTTTTTTGCCGAAATAGCAGGTTTTTCGATCTGTTTATGGAATTTTTGACTTATCTTTGTAAGCACACAGCCAGGTAGAAGGAAAGAGTTAATGAGCGGAAGAATCGGTTCTCTATTTCTCGTCTAACTGCTTTAACTATATACCAAACGTGGTGGTTCTTGTAGAGGTTCTTATTTACAAATTACGTTTTAGGACATTGTGAAACAACCCCCCTATTCAACCACCTGTTCCGATAATTCACCACACCTTCGTCATCACCAAATGTTTGTAATTTAGCCACGCAGACCGGTAACAACGTGATTGGGCAGGCCAAAGCGTGCGCGTGTTTTCGATTCTGAACATGGCTGTTGTTCCAATGGCAGAGTTTCCTATCGGGGAGGCGTACAGTGTCAGCGCGGATCTCTGGCTATCCAATTGACCCATGGAGGAATACCCATGGAGGAATTCAGAGCCGGTGTTATTGGTCGAGAGTTGAGTGGAAAGGGCTGTGCAGCATGCACAGCTGCACATTGGTAAACAAAACAAAGGAAGAGGAAAACAGCATTGACAAATCCCGCTATGACGTCTTTCCATCGGTGCTGATGATTTCGAAAGTTGTAAGCTTGGCTCCCCTGTTGGCGTAGTAGGAGGTATGGGAGTATGGGATCCGTTTACCCTAATCCTAATTTGTAGGTGTTCTGAACCACAGATTTAGGGGAGTGTCCGCGTCATTGCACACCACTAAGCGGTCTTCACGTGAGTTTCAATCCAAGAGCCATGGCCATTCGCTTAGCGGACTGGTTCAACCGTCGCAGGCACAGTACCCTGGGTGCTTTGCCACCTGTACAAACCACGGTTTTGTATGAATTGTGACGATTGCGCAGTTGTTATGTGGAGATAGTCGCCTTCGCACTGGTAACCTCGGGCAGCGGATCACTCTCACACAACCACCATCCCAACAAAGACGCGAAACTGGACGTGTACGGTTGTGCTGTGTATAAGACCTGGTTCCAATCCACTTCCCAGCGTTAGGTGGTCTGCTCCACGGGCATTACACGAATAAAAGTCCTTGGTTGCCGGCTGACAACCCGGCTATTGTATATAGGTAGGTGGATCTAGAACAGTTACAGCGTATCACACCATACATTGCTATCTAGGTGTTTGGGTTTTGGAAATCACAAGCAGCAATGGGGATCACTATGGTAGTTTTCTAGATCAGAGGCCAGAA